CCCCCTTGATATTTTTGTGTTTTTATTGCTATACTTCTTTTATTTATTAACCTACTATATATAGGAAGAAAGCTCGGAACGCGCTGCATCTTTTGGTATATTTACATCAGGGTTGCCAGATTAAAAATTTAAAAATCAGAAATTCCGACTATCAAAATCAGAAAATATTCAGAATTTTTTTTCGAAAATCAGAAAATAATCAGAAAGGCTAATATGTTGAAATTGGCACTTATTATTTTACCAAACTATTACAAAATGCTTTAGTTGTAATTTGTTCATCTATTCTTCATTTATTTTCGAAGATATTTAACATAAAAAAACAATAATAATAAGGATATGTAGTTCACCGAATATCACACAAACTAGCAAAAGACATCTAGTATCAGACTTTTTACTAACCTCAAAACGTTTTTCACATAAAATGAGCAAAAACAAACCGAGAAATACGCTATATACATCAAGAGATATTTAAAAAAACGACTCATTCAATATGAGTTCCATACTATTGATATTTTTCATTTTTCGAATTTGCTACAATAAATGTTTATCAGTTGAAATATGTTTTTAGAACTGTTCACAAGAATAATTAGCATTCATTCTTATCTTAAGTTCAGCACTAACTAGTTTTATATCCATGCAATTACGATAATCAGACCATACATGTTTCATATGGCTAACGATTATGATCGTAATCAATTTGAGAAAAGTCTTCATTCAGAAATAGAATTTGGACAAATATCGCAGCGAAACAGTAAAACCAGAAAAATCGAAAAAAACCTGAAAAATCAGAAAAATCAGAAGGTCAGAATAAAATCAGAAAAAGTTTTGAAATTCAGAAGCTTTCCTGCCATTTCAGAAGATCTGGCAACCCTGATTTACATTAAACATCAAATGCAATTTAACGTGCAAAAGATGTATTAGAAAAAAAAGTGACATTTTTTTCACTACAATATCTTGTATCCACAATGTTGTAACAGTTTTTATTTCGCGTATATCTCGGCTTTGGTAAATGACAATATCTTGAATTTTTTTGCAGAAGATGCGCCGTGAAAAACTCTACAAAAGCTCTACGATCGAATTTCTTTTTTGCCTGTTCTGATGGTTTTCTTATACTCAAATTGAACAACTTACATGGCAGTGTCACTTCCCATCATATAGAAAATATTTTGAGGACTTTTCTAATTCGCTATAGGATTTGGTCTATACAAGTTTTGCAGAGCTTTCGACGACACATCTTTCAAAAACAAACTCAATATTCCATCATTTTCTCAAAACAAAATATATACAAAATGAAAAGTCTTTCAAACATTTCAATATAATGGACAGTGACACTGTCATGTAGGTTTTTCATTTTGAGTATAAGAAAAACCATTGGAACAGGCAAAAAGGAATTTGATTATGCAGTTTTGTAGAGCTTTTCATGGCGCATCTTCTGGAAAAGAATTCAAGATATTACCATTTACCGAAGCCGAGATATACGCGAAATAAAAAATGTTACAACATTGTGGACACCGTGTAGTAAAAAAATATGTCACTTTTTTTTCTAATACATCTGTTACATTTTAAATTGCATTTGATGTTTAATGTAAATATACCAAAAGATGCAGCGCGTTCCAGGCTTTCTTCCTATATGTAGTAGGTTAATAAATAAAAGAAGTATAGCAATAAAAACACAAAAATATCAAGGGGGAAAATCAATTGAGGTGCACAGTATATGGGGTGCCCATAGGTCCTCAAGGGCTATCCTATGGGG